ATGTCTTCTGGGAGTATTCGCTGCACGGGTTCCTCGGAGAACGAAACGGTCGACGATGCGTCATTAAATTTGTGCTACTAACGTTACCACAGTAGATGAGCCTTATGGACCATTCACCTTATGGGCGAACTGGCACAAGTAGAGAATCAAAACGACTAGTACGCAATCATACAGAACCACTGGAGTTGGAAGAAAGCTACACATTTCGAACACGATTGTAGATTATAGTATTCTGTTTAGGTTGAACGCCATTAGGTTTGAGAGAAATGTGCCTTATTTTCGGTTTGTCTGCACGTATAGCGTTATTAAGGGAACAGTGAAAAAGCGTACAGTGACCGAAGCAGAAGCGAGTAAACGAGTTGAAGGTGCCTGTGGAACTTAAGCGAACGTGGGTCATGCATTGAGTTGTCTGAGAAATGCGTCTGTTAGGCTACCTTTTTCCAGTTCGGAAATTCTAGCTTCTGTTTGGCAAGTGTTTCGCTTTTTACAAGCCACGGATTCCGACTTCTTGTGACTTACTGAAACTTGAAATGACGAAGGACACCAGCATCCAAATGACTATGCGGTAGAAACACTTACCTGTGCATTACGGTTGTACCACCACGCCAAAATCAGTCGCCGGTTCAGGGTAGACTCTTGAGTGTTCGTTTTCTAAATGTGAGTTTGAATTAGTAGTAGTAGTTTCAAGTAGTAGATCTTCGAGTGCTGTTCAGGACCCTCGTAATTCTCCGAGAATGATAGCTCATGAAAACGCTTTATTGCTTATGAAAAGCCGTAGGAAAGTCATATGAAAGTCGTATGAAAAGTCCATACTGTAGCCCACTGAACAGTACTGCTTACAATAATGGTTCAAAAGTGTCCATTCTAGAACGCCTATGTGATCTTGAAAAAATCGTCCGAGAAAGTGCCTAATTTTGCGCAAAGGATTGACGTAATGTAGTGCTACACGTGTTGCGTTTTCTTTTGTTCAGCGATGCGAGTACTGCTCGCCAGCCTCTGGTCTATTTTTCCATAAACTCTTCAGTGGACTTTCAACCGAAAAGAAAAATATTGTTGTATTTTGCTCCACTGAAGTGTTGGCGCATACCTTCAAGGACTAAATGGGAACCACGGAGCACAGGGTGCAAAAGAAAAGGCGTACAGAACCCCTATTTGCGACTTCTCGTACACCGGATGATAGGTCGAACTTTTGGGCTTCACCTAGGTATCAGCCGCTGCCGATTAGTCAATGCCTCATCCGTTCTACACCTGTGAAGACGCTTGATGAATGTTAGAATTTCAATAAGTTAGCTTTACTCCGCGTCCAACGACGTAACAGACGGTGCTCCTGAAATGACGCGGCAAAATGTGAGGTTGGAAAAATATCCTTATACTGTTCTGCACTCGAGCAAAAATAGTGAAATAATCATTTTTTCGTGTATAATATTGGAAGGCTCGCTACTAAAGTGAGTGAATCATTCACTGATGATTGACGTCAAGTTCAAAACTGGAAGATGGCATCCAACCATGACCTATGAATGCGAGGCTAAGTGTGGCCCAAACTCTTCAAACTATTTATGTCCTAAGGAAACGCAACTGTCTGTCTCACTTATGAGTGAACGGACTATGGTCTGTATAGAAAGATCACAAATTCAGTACTCTGACGTATTAGTTGACTATTGCATCCAAAATGGGCTACCGGCATGCGCAAAGTGCCGAAGACCAGTGGCTCGGGCTGGCTGGTGTGACGTTTGAAAATTAGGCATATCGCATCCAAATGTGATTCGCCCAGAAAAATTAACAACAATTATTGGCAAATTCATATAGACTAGCGCAGTACAGCAGTACAGCGCGTACAGTAGGCTAGGCCAATATCATCACCATCAACCATCAAGCGTACACGGGTCCTGGTGGTGCCAAGGTCAGAGCCTGATTACTCCGTGCTACAGATATTTGTAAGGTATTGCTAAGCATTGGTAACAACAATGTAAATCGGGTAGTGTTTGAACACGAATTCCGGGTGTAGTGGCGGTGGGAACAATGAGTGGGGTAGTTAAGAAGTAACACCCTATTGCATATGAACAGCTTCAGTAGCAAAAAGATATTTTATTGAATAGCCGCTCGTTCAGTTAACACTCCGAAGGTTTACCAGAATTCATCACAACGACATTTCTTTGCAGCCCATATTTCCTACGATCAGAGTGCCGCATCAAAACGCAGCCCTTCAGTCTTCCACCCTTATTGATCCAGTCAAGAAAAGGACAGTAACGAATCCTAAAGGATTCTTTCCCGTTCGTCCAAATGATTGTGAAACTCTCGGAAATATACGACTGTATACAAAATGCTTCCTAGCTCCCTTTAAAAGGCCCTGATATGGCATGAAGAGCACAAACTGGATACCTCTGCGTATCTATTACGACACTTGCTCCTATTATGCACCATGGGTGGTCAGTTCTGTTTCAATATGAACAGCAACATAATGTAGTGACGATGTGAAGCCTGCTTGGACCGGTCTTAGTTGATCTGCAGCAAGCAGACTGAGGCTTACTACGGTGCGACGGTTTGCGTAAGCCCACTGAGTCATGCTGAAGGACGGTCATGTGACCCACGGAGTATCTCCTCCCTGGCTGTTCAGTAGGTAGAGGTCAGACAAGCAGTCTATTAGCCCTCCTGATTAATGTTCCCAACAGACGTGGCAACTTAAATTTACTGTGGTAGTCACACGAACTACCCTAAGGGTGTTGCTGTCTCCGTTTGAGCACCCTGCAGTATTTCAGCGGACTTGCACCCATGAATTCCACAAAGTACCTCCATTCTGCACCCCTAATCGTGTGATGACCTCGGCCAGTCCGCCCTAATCCCTGGAAAATTCAGGGCAAAGAAGCTGAAACATGCGACTGCCGACGCCTCCTATCTTTCTTCATTAATCTTCCTCAAGTTCCATCCAGCCTCATTTGAGGACCACTCTTCCACTGATCCCAGTTGTAGGCACTTCAATGAAACCTGCAGTAAATTGACTGATTTCACCTGACCGCTTAAATCTGCTGCTCAACGACCCCCACTCAAATTGCGTTTCCCCATTCGTATTGCAGCCTTTATTGCCCGAAACCTTAAACAAGCTGGTGGAAAAATCTGCCCTAAGGAGCATTTTTGATACCTTATCGACAGATGTTGGGTGCATCCTGACACCTGAATACAAGATCCAAGTGCAGTATTCGAGCTCACGGCACGTTTGCTGTCAAGATGCTACCGAAGAAGAACTTTACGTACCCGCCCAGACGATTGCGCTGGTGTTCACACAGCTTCCTTAATTATATACCTGTAAACAGTCATCCTTTTGCTGTCCGTCAATCTGTTTCCATAAAGACACGCATCGGCCGGAATAATTAGCATAATTTTTACATTTTCTGCTGATGCACCAACTGTAGACCCAACACCGGGATATCTATCGGAATTATCACCCTTTCGCTCACCACGATGAACTCACTGGAGACTTAAGTGAGCAGCGTCCCAGTTTGCACCAGCCATCACTTGCTGACAAGCGAAGTTTAGATATGATACTGGTGAGCACCCACTCAAAAATCTGTATTGACCACCAGTTCCTCATCAGTATTTGGTTTGAGCTTGAACTCAGCGTTTAAGGCACGGACTTATTGAACGGAAGGCCCGTGGTTCGAAAACAACTTCGGCACCTCGACCCCTCTAGTCTGGACAACCTGGTGTATCTCAGCCACTGGGCCTCCTTCGGGTGGCATCACCTAGGCACTGGGCCTGTTTTTTTTCGCTATGCAAACACATGCAAGGCGCACTCCAAGGGAACGACGCTCTTGGTTACGAACCTGTATCTTAAGCAAGACTTGGAGAATGTGGAAGACGCCGTCTAGTTATTTAATTACCATCAGTCCGCACAGATTTCTATCAATAGAATCTCAAATGCGATCCCTTTAAGGCATACGCTTTACATCTTCAAAATGAAAACTACCGCGGCAGGATTTCGAATCCTCTTGAAACTTCATGGAAAGTACTTTAATTTTAAGTTTGTGGTTCACGAAATATTAACGGGTATTCATTGGCGCAAGGTTTGCATATAAGAGCCGGGAAAATTTGTCATAATGAGAAGTTAGGAGACCTTGAAGGTAATTCAACCAAACTGCGGTAGTACGGCTGTCGCCGTACAGCTTCACCAAAAGAAAGGAAAGGCTTTGGAACAAAAAGAAAACCTAGGTGGTACCCCTAAAATGTTTTCACCATATTACTATAACGGGGATCGAGTGCAACAGATATTGGAACAAACTTCCGTAACAGCATTCAACGCTGTCTTACTTAATGAGCAGCAAAACCCGGTTGGCGCTAACAGAAATATTAGTTTTCTCTTCCTGAATTTGGTGCGTGAAGTACGCCTAAGCAGGCCCAAAAATGTCCGAAACTTCCAACCAGCACAATCTAATACCGCCTACTGAACTATCAAACAACAGTCGTTTTGCTGAGGCAATGATGATTTGACGCCACAAACCCATGTCTAATAAGTTCGGATTGTAGCTATCTTACCTCAGTAAGGCTGGCATAGAAACATGTCTACAGCCACAGTACCCTGACTATGAGGACCATCATTTGTCATAGGGATATCACTGGTCTACTTCTGTCCGAAAACATATCCGCTGAATTCTTCTAAGCTTGGTTTGTAAAAGGCTAGTGAGATAAGCGAAACGGCTGGAGTTAACCTAGCATAGTATGACGGTTTTCCTTACTCCACGACATTGTTCATTGGTAGCCGTTGAAAAAATACGGCAGAGAAGTCACCTCAACAATCGATGAGTAACACAGCTAACACAATCCGTAGGAACCGATAAAATACGTTGGGGGAACACGTTGGTCCGTCGTTGACCGCGAAATTCCGGGCGAAACCAAGGAAACTTAACATGGAGTATTCGTCCATAGGCAAAGGTAGCGCTTAATATAACGACCAGCCAAACGATACAAGGGACTGCACATGTCCAGTGTGAAGGACAGTCGTATCTGTTATTGAAATCACAATAGCATCTAATGAGAAACAAAATGTTATTCGATTTCGAAATTAACTTCGCTTGCACATTGCAACCACCATTCGTGTAGTATCGGGGAGCGCATTTATTACCGCGAAAAAGTGTACAAACGTATGTACAAGTTATATGGCAAATATCTAATTCAAAATGCAGCTTCCATCCTCTTCTTTTTCTTCTTTGGAAATACATCAACATGGTTTGGCTCAGCATCCCCAACAACCAAGCTGGATTCTGACGCTGACCGCTTACGATTCTGGCGTACAACCGCTGGTTTCACTTCCATTGCCGCGCATTCAGAAAGATGGCGTTTCTTTTTTTTCTTCCCCACGTTCGGGTTTGTGAGTTCGTTAGATTCATGCATCGTGGCAGCTTCATCATGATCGGGGTCCGTCTTTGTCTTAACCTCCTCTTCCTCCATCTGTCTTAGTTTCTTCTTTTTCTTTTTAGGGAGAGGAACTGACGGTACTGACTCACCGTCCATCTCCGTTGGAGAGTGTGCAGTGATTGGAACCTTCTGATTCAAAATCGTGATGGCCTTCTTTTTCATTTTGCGAATAAATTTCCGAGCCTATACGTTGAAAAGTGCACGTGAGTGAGTGAAAACAAGCGATTAAATTGCCATGAAACAGAATTAATAGAGTAGCCTCATAGGTGTTCTCAGATAACACGATCGATCAATCTACATTTCCAAGAAACGATATCCGAGTAAGAATGAGATGGTAAACCAAGACAACAGATAACATAGCTGAGTATTATATTCTTTGAAAAACAACCCAACGGGAATGGCATATGCTACTTGACCCGTAAAACCTAACATAGCAAGCCGATTTAGCACCACTATTCACCTTGGAACAGCAAAACACCGTCCAGACAAAGTAAATTGTACACTTTAGTAGCCTTAACAACTTAAGAGGGGTTCGGTAATCACACTATCCCATTAAGTCTGTAAGGCTTGTGCACACAGATACAGACACTACAGATGAGTCTGTTTACGGGTAAACGTCCCGTGAATAACCAAAAAAGCTTGAAATTACCTGTTTAACCCAGATGTTGGTACACATTGTTATTCAACTGCTTTGTTTAAAAACTGCAAGCCCGAAAAAAACGAACAACAGTTTCATGTTCCTAATGGAAATGGCAGCCATCAGTCTCATGAGAGAGCGATTAGCTGCCATACAAATGATTGGAGTGACAGTTACAAAAGCATTTAGATCAGTACTCAAGTCAAAATTCTGTCGGAGACCGTATACACTCACCTCCACGTTAGCAATTTCCATCGCTTCAGCATTCGTCAGTGCGGTTTGACCAGTCTCGAAAAAGTTCAGGCGATCTTCGATTTGTTTTCTCAAGTGCTTGCCGTAAATATCGGATAATATCTCACTGAAGCAATCCAAACGACAGGCTATGGCACATTTGGCAGCCAAAAATCGGGAGATACGTCCCTTATTCTCTCTGGCTGCCCTGGATATGAACGGGCTGTGGAAGATAAGTCCATATTTCGGTGTTCGTCCACGACGTCGTAGCGCTCGGAATAGGGCTTTCTCGGCTCCCAAGATTTGAATGGTTGATGCAGGGAACTTAGCCAGATTCATCAGCGATCCCGCATGCGATATCAAGCGGGCACTCACTCGGTCCCCAATAAGTGTGCTCAAATTAGGGGCTACGCCGGACAACTTGGAGGCGAGGTAATCCTGTAATTGTTTCCGGCGATCCACTAGCGACAAGATTTTCTCAGTAAATGCCGTCAGATGTTCGGCGTCCTCTTCAGTTATATCGAAACCTAAAGTTTATCAACAATGACTGAAAAAGGACTTACCAAACGAGGAGGTGGCCGCATCAATAATCATCTGAGCCCTCTCACTGTCAACAATCGCTTCTAAGGCCTCCAGTTTGTCTTGTGTGACTCCTTCGCGAGTTCCAATCAGACCAATCACCTTGACGAAAGTGACATTATCGGGCACTATTTTGACCAGCTCTGGGAAGTGATAGGAAAACCACTCCTTAACACGCATGCAAAACACGTTGACATCTTTGTCTAGTTGATCGAGCAGATTGATCGACTGAATGATCATGTTGTCATTTCTAAGCAGATGCAGTGGTAAAGGTGAAATGTGACGACAAACCTGTTCACATTGAACTTGACCTTGGCACGTGAATAACTGTGACCTAAACCGAGTTGAGCCTTGGACTCGGCGAAATGGGAAAGCTCTTTGATGTATGTTGGAAATCGAAGTCTGAGAGCACGAAATGCGTCTGTTAGTATAGACTCTGAGGAACAGATTAAAGTGTCAGGAAAGCCGGCTTCCGGACTCTTGATGGCATCTGCTAACTTTCTTTCCGCCACACAAAGCATGGTGGCACCGTCGAGAGGTAGATTTTCCAGTAGGAAGTTTTTCAAATCCTCGTGTACCATCCCTTCTGATACAGCGTTGCAATTTTGCAGAGCACTGGCAGATGACGAGAATGGGGAGAAGGCGTGCAATTTAAAGGACTTGCAAAATGTTTCGTCGTCATCCAGTAACTCCTTAGCCAGCTCCACTATCGATTCGACATCAGCTGCTTTAACACGTAGTAGGGCGTATCCCAGAGCATGCTCGAAAAGAATGAACTTTTTCTGATAATATAAACATGGAAAAGAAGGAACTAATTGATCTATGGTTATCAGCGGCAAAAAAGAGGCTGAGTAGACCGTACTAACAACATGCACCACATATTGAATTCCTTATACACAGTAATCATTGGCACCAGATTCATGTGACCTCAGATTGAAAACAAATCGATGAAGAAATAATTTCAAGTCAATATACCAACAATTAACTTACTAAATGAGCCGCGTTGGCAATTTCCTCAAAATCGAATTCGCCTATGGTGAAGTATTTCAAACTGTCCCTCAATACAACGGTAAATTGTAAAGAAATTCGCGCCCTGTTTGATGAACTCTAAATGACAGTGCTTCATCCGAACCTTCTATTGCTCAAAGAGCATTAGCCATTTTATGATCAGTGAAATATGGGTAAACAGGAATACCTCCGAAATGGATAAGGCTAAACGAAAGGATTCTTAATAAATGCAAAAAGTTGCTTAACAAATAGTCTCATTCGGTTATGACAGGAGAGTAAACTGGATCCGGCTAACTGACTAGTCTACGATAGTTCGCTTCAACGTTCTTCGAACCTGGGATTTTCGTTCACGACAGGTCGAAGACAAACGTGCTGCACTCCTACTGGAAAATCACAAGATTTTTCTGACTACGAGGGGGGCAACCGACTGTGCTTTCCAAGGCTTTCCGCCCCGACGATCCTTGAGGGTCGATTTGTACCCTGAATCCACTTTTCCTGATGCGCTTAAGTGGGATCGTATGCAGTCCTGAGAGCTGTGAACTACTGTTACATTCATCCCACACACGCCGCTATTTTAAACCCAGCACACTTTGCTGCAGGGTCTGGGAAATTTACACATCCGAACACCCACCTTCTAGTAGCTTCATTGGGTATTCACCGGCACCAGCCAACACGAGTGTTATGACGCATTTTCTTAACTTAGTTCTCCGTCTGAACCTTCCAACATAGCATTCCCATCAAAACAAACACCAAAGGGGCATGTGTATTGACGCCCAAAACCCAGTCAAACACTACTACAGCGCGCCTATGTACAGTACATCATCATCGATAGCATAACATGTGTTCAACACTGATGCCTCGATGCCGTACAACCATCATTTATTTGAAAGCCTTGTTGTAAACAAAATTAAGGTGAATGGGGGTTAGTGCTAGCTTGCCATAATCATTCCGAGGTGCTTACACCTCCATACATTCACTCAGGCAATCTGAATAGAAACTGACAACAAGAACGCCACTAACATTGGTTGGCAGCCAGACCTTGTAGTCTCCAACCAGGCGCAGTGAGGATCACGCGGTCCCCATACTGGAAGGCAAGTAGCACCGACAGCACCCTAGCGTTTCGTGATCTCCAACACACTCCCCTGCCAAGTCAAGGGTTGGCCACCTCTCAGTCTACGCCACTCTGAATTGGGCATGGAAAACAGCACTCTCTTCGGCAAACGATGGTTTGCCGAACACATGTCCCAACCAACGCAGCTTCTGGTGCTGGACACATTCTTCGACAGAAGTACCCGTTTCACAACCGGAAACGAGCTTTCTAACTGCCTCGTTA